TTTTTTTTTTGACGAGGAGATTTCGGACTTCAAACTTTGTATGGATCACGCTTATTGTGAATGTTTGAACGTCATCTTGCTTTGCTCTATCGAGGTGTCCCCATCACTAGAGAAATTCACGAAGAATTAACTCATGGCTGTAAAGATTCAGATGTGAAAAGACTTATGAGACAACCTAGAAAATTTTTTTTACAAATCCTTCCCCATATATGTAAGAAGCATCATCTTTTGGGCTTTCTATGCTTTGAAGTAGTAGCGAAGTACGGGATACCAGACAGCTCAGAAAGTGTTTTGTGCAAACAAAACACTTTCTGAGCTGTCTGGTATCGCCGTGTGTGTTTGGCAATGCTATATATACTTAATTTGTACATCTTGCCTTTCCAACTCTATCTGCGTGAGCACATCAAGGTAAATCTGAAGAAGGTGCCGTGTTTATGTTCGGGAGTAATTCTAGAAGTAGAGTGTTCACCTTGGATAAGTAATGTAATCTTTGGCAGATGACCAGAAAACGCTGCAGCTGTGGAAAACTTGCAGAGAAGAATGTTGAAAGAGCTATCCTTCACAACCAGACATTACTCTGCAGTTCTTTGGAAAGCAAAACCAAGGAATTTTTTTTCAGTGGTTTCGATCACGACTGCACCGCTCAACAATTTGTTAACGTCATGTACCAGAAGAAGTGCATTCGTACGAAGCCGATCGAGTCCACGTGAGTTACGATGTCCGCTTTCGTTGTCCTTTGTTCTTTATGATCGAGGATGTGCGCGTTGTTACAGCAGCGAAGCCATCTGCGGCAATGGCGTCGTGGAGCAGGACGAGCAGTGCGATTGCGGTCTTCCTGCACTGTGTGATAGTTGGAATTGCCAAGCCGAGACGTGCACCTATCGGACACATCCGCTCATTCTGGTGCGTTGGAGCACATTTTTGTTAAAGTGCCACTACGAAACTTGTGGTAGAAAACGTCATGTCAACGATAGTTTCCGCATGTGCAACAACTAGTAGGGCTTGTAACTTTTAAGCGTGCACGGTTTGTGGCAGATGTCCGCGCGACTCCTATTCGGCGACAAATGTCCTTTCCGAAACTTGAGAGCGTGGAATTATAAGATGTCTTTGTGCACTTTCTCTCAGCCACAATCTGGCGGGAAAAGCTGCGTTATTCTTTGGTATTGAGTCTAGCATATACTTCTAGTGTACTTTTTAGAAAGATCCTTTGTCAAAATAGAAAAATTCGTCCCTACGCGATGCCCTTACCTGGGCAGCGAATCCATTTCAGATCCAAGTGGCATCCCTTGCCTGCTTTTTATCCATTTTTCGTCAATTTTTGAGTCAGCTAGTTTCTGGAGACTTTTACGGTCCTTCCAACATTTGATTTTTTTACTTTTAAGTTTAGCTCTCCCATAAGTTGGACAACAACGTTCTCTGTATTATGTCGTTTCCTAAAATCTCAACGAAAGAAGTACCGCTGAGGACCACTTTTATTGTGGAAATGAACTGAAAATGCAATGGAATATCTGAATACTTTTGAAGTTTATAAATTTGGCATAATTTGGATGAAATGGTTTCGCTCGGGTTTGCTTCCTCAGTTGCAGAAATTTTGATGGTTGAAAATCAGGTAACCTACATATATGCGTTCTCATTGTCCCTATCT